AGTTCCCTAATTTACAGGATCCAGTGCAACCGAGAAGCACGTCCCACCAGACCAAATATATGAAGTTGAAGACACCGAGCGAGCGCCTTAAACCGAGTGCGGGACTGTTCGGAGGGTGCGGCTCTGTGTCCCCGCAGTTTGCACGATTACAGATTAGGTCCCGCGGGGGGGGCAAGGGAGAGCTCCCCATTTTATTGGAACATACAGCCCTGTCCCGTCACCCCTCTAACACACACCATTTCGCGGCCCCTGAAGGCTGAGGTGCAGGTGTGAGCAAAAATAGTGGGAGTGCAGAGAGGCAAAGGGTGAGCGAGAGACGGACAGAGAGACAGAGAGGGAGGGAGACAGGTAGAGAGAAGGGTGGAGGGAAGACGGGGACGGGAGGGAGACAGAGGAGCAGAAGTATTGGGGGTGGGGAAAGAGGCAGAGAGACAGGCAGGAGACAGACAGAGGCAGAGACAGACAGACACAGACAGAGACAGAGACAGACAGAGACAGAGGCAGAGACAGAGACAGACAGAGACAGAGGCAGAGACAGAGACAGACAGAGACAGAGACAGAGACAGAGACAGAGACAGAGACAGAGACAGAGAGATCCCAGCACAGACAGGACGCACAGGAGAACCAGAAAAGGAAAAACGGAGCCGAAATAGAGATGAGGAAAGATGATTCTCCGACGCAGAGGAGGTCACAGAGGTTAGGAAGGCAGAACAAAAGGGGCTCCTCCTTTCTTCAGAATTAGGGCCAGGCACAAAGATCTATAAGGAGGACATTAGCTGCAGGCACACCTCAGGGACTGCAATGAGCATTTTAATGCCTATTTTAAAAATCAAATTTAATGTGAAAAAAAAATCCATGAAGAATCTGGAATTCCAATTTTCAATAAAGACTGGGTGGAAAATCCAGTCAATTCCGGCTGCTGCTTTTTGCTGAAAATTCTGATATTTCGTCTTTTGGTGTCCCCTCAAAGCCTGTGCCCGTAGGCGGTGCCTCACTGCCTTCCCTAGTCCCAACCGCACCTTTCCCACCTCCAGTTTTTACCCTTTAACTTGGCGCCCACCCCCAAGGCCACGCTGGCTCCCCGCGGGCTCCCACGAGGGCCCAGGCAGAGAACTGAGTAGAGCAGGAAAGCAGGACTGGTAAGGTGTGAGGGAAGGCTCAGCACCAGGGTCAGGCCCCCAGACTCTGCGTGGTGGGAAGTCGAACCCAGGGCAGGGGAGGAGGGGACTCACTTTGCAGGCAACAGAGAATTTGTCGTGGGGAGCAGCACAGATCGTGAATTTCCTCAACAGGGTCGGGTAAAACTTCTTGCAGTCCTTGTAGGAGATGAGGTGGACATTCGAACACATGAGCTCTGATGGATTTTTCACTGTTGGGGAAGTTAGGGGGCAGTCAGAGGCTTGGTCCGGTGGGCCTGTGGGTGCTGATGTAAAAGAATGGGGGCCCTGAAGGAGGAGGGGCTGAGTGACTCAATAATACGGTCATGAAAAGGGACCTATCTCTTGGGCAACTGGTTCTGACGGAGGAAGGGGTTTGAGGGTGGAGCGTCCTGGGGCCAGGACTCCTTGTCTAAGGGAGGAGGCATCTGGAGGTCAGGACCCCTGGGTCTGAGGGAGGAGGGGTTTGAGGGTCTGGGATCTTGGGTTTGTCACCTGTCTCCTGTGCCTTAGAAATACGGGAGCTGTAGACTGGGTTTCTGGGCCACAGAGGCAGCCTTACCTACATGTGTGGAGATGTTGCCCCAGCCAGAGAGAGCACAGTTTCTCCTAGGCTGTCTGCAGCTGGAGGGCACACTGATCGTCCTCACGGAGGGTGACAGCTTGGCCGGGCTGCTCAGCTTCAAAAGCATGATGTCATGAATGTTTGTGGTTGGGTCATACCGAGGGTGGAGGAACAACTTTGTGACCCTGATCTTCTGGGCATTTTCATCAACCAGAAGATCGCTGCCCATTTGAGCAACATACTCACTTCAAAAAAAAGAAAAAAAACAGGTAACAGTCAGAGAGAGACACTGTGACTGAGAGGGGAAAATAGACCTAGAGGGACATAGAACCAGAGAAAGAGAGGTAGGCAAGGACCAGAGTGAACAATGGAGTCCTGTGTCCCCCTGCCACATACCTCAGGAGGCAGTGGGCGACCGTGAGCACCCACTGCTTGCTGACCAGCACTCCTGCACACTGGAACACACCCTTATCATACAGGGCCACCTGCCAAGGGTGGGTGCCTCTTGGACACTGAACTCCATTCACAATCCTTGCCCTGGTATCTTGGGCTGGAGGGAGACATGAAAAAAACATGGGTAGCAGGCAGCAGGGGAAGACTGAGGCCACAGCAGAGGGATTCCCAGCAACAGTGATGGAGAGAGACATGGAGAAGGGCAGGGGCAGAAGCTGAGCCGAGTGCAGACACTTGCCGGCAGAGACGGGGACAGATGGAGAGAGCCTGCTCAGACGCTGAGGACAGCAGCTGGCCTGGAGGCGACCCCAGCATCTGATGGGAGAGACACTGAGGGCAGGAAGCAGCCTGGAGGGCACCCAGACCCCAGGAGTCGGGGGGAGCAGGAAGAGAGGGGCCACCGCCGAGGATCTTGTCTCCATGGGAGGCAGCTGCTGCAGGGGAGGGGTCCTGACTCAGGGACTCCTTGGAGAGAGGGGCCCTGGGGAGGGTCAGGGAGCTATTGGCCCAGGCAAGTTTAGGTCTCCCAGTCCAGCCCTCACCTTGTCCAGCAGATCTCAGGGCTAAGGATAGCAGTAGGATCAGCAGGGACTGGAGCAGGAGACCTGCCATGTGTCCTCTCTGAGCCTCTGGCTGTCACTCAAAGGAAAGGCCTCTTCTGCTGGGACTGGAAAGACAAAGAGCTCAGGAAGCAGGAGCTCTTGTCCCCAGCTCCTTCTCCACCCTCAGACCCCGGAGTCCCAGTCTGCACCCACCTCCTCCCTCAGACTCAAAAGTCCAGGCCGGAGACACCCTTCTACTCAGAACCTAGAGACTGAGCTTCCTATCCCTCCCCATTTATAATTCTCTGTCCCAAGTTCCTTTTAGGTAAAAGACCCAAAACTCCAGAACTCTAGCCCCTCCTCACAACCAGAAGTTTGGGCCCCTACTGCTCTCCCCTCAGGAGCAAGAGTCAGCTGTCCATCCAGGCCCACCTACCCCACCCAAAATGGGATTTCTCCTCACCTGCGGTGGGTCTGATCCGGTCTTCAGGCTGGGTTGGGAGTCAACCGTGTCCAGTTCTGTGCATAGTGGCCCTCTTATAGCACACCCGCCCCGCTCCATCTCTCAGGGTCCTGGAGTTCAGGTGAACCCAGCTCTGGGGTTACCCTACCTGCACTTGCTCTTATCTGGAACCCCTGAGGCAACTAAAGCCATATGCCTGCACTCTGTCTCCACCCTCATTCCTGAGGCCAGGTCATGAGTTTGGCCCCAGCACATTCTAGCTCCATAATCCCTGGTGGCAGCTACCAAGGGAGGGACCAGGAACTGATGCTGAGGGGCAGGAGGAGGAGCTAAGGACCTGCACAGCTCAGGAATAGGCTAGGTCCTGAGTCCTCCACTGTGGCCAATTTTCTTGCCCTCAGCCCTTCTCAGGGGTGGCCTAGACCCTACACCCTAACTCTGAGCAGCCTGTGGGAACTTGTCCAGGTGGAATCCCAGACCTATCTTTGAGCCCGAACCCAACCCCAACCCTAATAAGGGGGTAAGACTAAAAAAAGGCTTTCCTAATCAACCTACTAAATGTTTACAGCTTCATTTAGTCTGTGTCTCATATTATACTTTCATTTCTATACATACTATGTATTTGTAACAAAAATGTCTGTACTGAGCATTATCTAATGTAACATTTTATTTACTCTATAGAACATCTTCAACAATTGTTCCTCTTAGTACATTTAGGTCATTTCTCCTTCCTTTATACTGTTGTATAATAGTCTACACTCTAGTTTCATTCTGGTGTATATGATCTGTTTCACATTGCAGTACATTTGAATGGCTTTCATTATAATGATGATGTGATGACTTTCTCTGTGTTTTCATCTTTGCTCATTTCATTCATTCCAGTCGTATCCCCTGAGCATTGGCTGAGCCAGAATCTAGTCTGGCCTCTGAGGACCCAGCATCAACAACACAGCAAAATTCCTTCACAGAGGCTCTCGTTCCAGTGGGTGGAGACAGGTAGGTGTTGAATTAACGACTGAAAGTGGAATTTATCTTCTTATTAACAGTTGAGCAGTAGACTTGATAAAGATAACATCAATCTGGCACCTTCTGGTGCCAGCAGTTATATGCTTACATCTCATTTAATCTTCACCAACAGCTTTTTTCTTTTTGGGGGGCTGAGTTTAGTGAACTGTATTAATGGTGCATGACAAGGTAGAGATCCTTAAGCTCCTTCTATTGTCCAGTGGGTCTGGGATAAAAACTGGCGGTCAGGAGATTCTCAGTGTGTGGATTAATCGATTTGGGGCAAAGACTCCCAAGTAGCTGAGCACCTCTTCTCCTCACCGAGACTGGTGGTGGTCCAGGGGGCTCTTACGCCTTGGAGGCCATGTGGACCATATGATCCACCATCCTGTTTCTGTAGCAAAAATCATTTTCATACTAGGAAATGAGCTTGACAAAATGGTCGTTGAGGACAATGCCAGCCCAGGCATTGAAGTTGAAAGAGTGTGTGTCACTGTTAAAGTCTGAAAAGACAACCTGGTCCTCAGTATATCTTAGGATGTCCTTGAGGTTGTCCCCCAATATCTGCTTCACCACCTTGTTGATGTCAATGTCATTGGCAGTTTTCTCCATGGGGCAGGTCAGATCCAGGACCGGCACATTGGGGGTGGGGATGGGGAAGGCCGTGCCAATGACCTTCCTATTCAGCTCAGGGTTCACCTTGCCTAGAGCCTTGGCAGCCTCTGTAGAGGGCTCTGGGCCTACAGATGATCTTTTGGGCAGCCCTTCACCCATTATGCCACAGCTTCCCAGAAGGGCCACCCACTGTGTTTTGGGTGGCAGTGATGGCATGGACTGTGGTCACCAGTCCTTCCATGGTGTCAAAGTTGTCATGGATACCTTGGCCATGGGGGCTATGCAGCTGGTGGTAAAAAAGGCATTGCTGACAATCTTGAGGAGGTTGTCACACTTCTCATGATTCATACTTATCACTAACATGGATGGGGAAATCTACAGAGTTAGAGATGATGACCCTCTTAGCTCCCAACTCCAACGGGTCCTCAGTTTCCTCCAAGGGAGTGAAGACACCAGTGGATTTCACTGAATATTCAGCACCAGCATCCCCTCATTCAATGTGTGCAAGTTCTTGTTCCCCAGAGATAGAGATTGGCTTTCCATTGACGGCAAGATTTCTGCTCTCAGCACTGACTGTGCCTTTGAACTTGCCATGGGTGGAATGATACTGGAACATGTAGACCATGTAGTTGAGGTCAATGAAGCGGTCACTGATGGTGACAATATCCACTTTTCCAGAGTTCAAAGCAGCCCTGGTGTTCAAGTGCCAAATACGGCCAAGTCTGTTTACTCTGACCCTTCCCATGATGTCTTAGAATCATAGCTGGCACTGCTCAGCAGACAAGGCCGTCTACCAAACATTGATTAGCAGAGAGCCCACAAAAGCTTTTCAAAGGAGGGATAAGTTTGATTATTCCATCATTCACTCATCCAACAAATTCATTCAACAAATATTAATTGATCACCACTCTGAGCACTAGCAACACACAATGGAGAATATAGATATAACTCAAGCCCTTCTGGAGCTTAAAAATCTGTTGGTTAGTTATCCCCATTCTGCAGATGAGGAAAGTGAGGCTGAGAGATGGAAAGGGACTCGTCCAGGGAAAAGGGACAGAGCCATGTTTTGCATGTTTCCACAGCCTCCCACAGTCTCCCTAGAAGTGAGAGTCAGACAGGCAGCAACCCAAATCCTGATTTTGGTGCTTCCTGGTGAATCACATTGTTTCTCTTGCTGAGCCCCAATTTCTTCACTGTGAAGTAGGATGAGGGATACCTGCTCAGACTCCAAAGTCCAAAGGGAGGACCTCAGTGGAGATCCAGACTCTTCTAGGGGCAGGAGGCCCTGGACTCCTGGGTCTGAGGGAAAAGGGTCTCGGAGACTTGGCTTGTATGTTTTGTGCGAGGAGGGGTCTTAATATTCTTTGTGCAGGGAATCAGCGACTGTAGAATTTCTACAATATGAGGAAGGGTGGAGGAGCGGGAATAGGAGATACTCGAGGCCTGATAAGATGAAAAGAAATAGGACCAGGAATGGGACCATCTGGCAAGTCTGACAAGCTCAGTAACTGAAAGTAACCAAACGAGATGTTCCGATCATAAAAATTCCTAACTGAGCGGGTCATTGCGGGAAGTCACATCCTGAGCCCTGTATGATAGGTTAACCTTCACCTTGAGAAGCCCTGTCCACTGTTTTTGTGCATCTGAAGTAATAACATACTTTAAATGTCAGAATGATATCATTTTTTTAGATCTCTAGATCAAATATTTTGATACTGGGAGGAGATGACGCCGACATTCCTCGGTATCTTTTACCCGCATAACCTGGTAAACTATCTACGTGAGATGCTAACTACCTGCATCACCTGGAAAAGAAACACGCAGCTCTCCATTGCACTTTCTAGCCAATCCTAGAGATTTCCCGGCTTTACTTTTTAAAAATTCAGCAAGACGATCCCAAGTCATTGCAAAGGATTCCACCCGCAGACTTTACACTGGAGCTGAGAGGCAGGGCCAGGCGTCTCCGGAGTTAGTGCAACTCCGTGTTCTGTTACTTATAAAAGTTTTAGATTGAATATTGACTTGGAGTCACATGCTGGGGAGAGAGGAGAAGGTGATGGAGCTTTATGGGGGGAGGGGGTGGCCAAATACCCCAGACATTCCTTCAACTTGTCACTGATCCAGAGACAGGATGAGGCTAGTGACCCAGACTCCTGGGTCTGGGGGACGAGACACTTGGGGCCTGGACTCCTGAGTCTGGGTAAGAAGTGTCTTAAAAATCACACTCCTGGCCCTGAAAGGGTAGCTCAGTGGGTTAGGGCGTGGTCCTGACAGACTGAGGTTCCAGGCTCCATCCCCAGTTAGGGCACATACAAGAATCAACCAGCGGCCCTGGCCGGAGTGGCTCAGTGGTTGAGCACCCTCCAGTGAACCAAAAGGTTGCTGCTTAGATTCCCGGTCAGGGCCCAGGCCCAGTCAGGGGCCATACAGGAGGCAGCCGACCAATGTTTCTCTCACACGGATGTTCCTCTCTCATTCCCCTTCCTTTCTCTCTAATATCAATTCAAACACATATTTTTTAAAAAGAAACCAGCCCTGGCAAGTTTTGCTAGTGGTTAGAGCGTTGGTCCTCAGTCTGAAGGGTCCTGGGTTCAATTCTGGCCAAGGGCATGGACCTCTGTTGTAGGTTCGATCCCCAAGGACCGGTCGGGGCACGTGCAGGAGGCAACCAATTGATGCGTCTCTCTCAAATGGAAAAAAATATCCTCAAGTGAGGATTAACAACAACAAAATTTTTAAATAGGTAAATAAAACAGGAATCAACCAATGAATGCATAAGCACATGGAACAGCAACACCCTTCCCCCCATTCCTCTCTGTCTAAAATAAAATTTAAAAAAAAAAAAAAAGTTCACACTCCTGGAGAGTGAAACCAGGGGCCTGCTGCTGCTCGCTTCAGGGTGCTAATTTGGGGTCTTGGTTCAGGGGGTGCCTGCTCTCCTTCGGGGCCTGCTCCCCTCAGGTTGCTTCTCCTCCTGCTCCTCCGGG